GGACTAACAGTGTCAGGATAAAGGATATTACCTTAGTCCGTTTGGATTGTTGTAACAGAATACCATAAACTGGGTGGTTTATAAACAGAAATTTATTTCTCCACAGTTCTGGAGGCTCGGAAGTTCAATGTCAAGGAACTGGAAAATTTGGTGTCTGGTCAGGGCCCTCTTGGCTCATGGTCTTTTCACAGTGTCCTCATATGGTAGAAGGGGCAAGGCAACCTCTGGGGCCTCTTTTATTAATATAAGGACATTAAACCCATTCATGAGGGCAGGGCCCTCATAATCTAATCACTCCCAAAGGTCCCATCTCCTAATACATTGGGAATTAGGTTTCAACATATGGATTTGGGAGAGGGGGTACCTTCAGACCATAATAGATACAAACTTTGTTCATTTAAAATTCTGTGCACCTAAAAGGAACTGTAGTAGAAAAGGGGAAGGGCAAGGACCATGGAGAGAGTATGGCTGACTCTGGGTAACTTATTCTTACCATGGAAATCAGTACCCAAGTCATCTGTGTGCATATGTCATCTTGCCCCTTTCTGTTTTCTCGTTTTGGGAGTCAAACAGACCTGGGTTCTACTTCTGGCTTTGCTCTGTTAACCAATTACTTTGCCTCTCTGAGTCTATCAGAGTTTCCCTATCTAAAATACCTCCTCACAGGGCTATTGTGAGGAGATGTAAGGTATGTATAGTCTCTGACACATGGTTGGCATTCAGTAATTAGGGGCTGTTCTTACTGTGATGTCTCTTTTGGGGGTCTCATTTACCCCAAGTTCAGGGGTGGAGGTACATTTTAGGGCCTTTTTACCTTTGCAAAGCCCTGTCACTTTTCTACGTGTTCAGACTTGGCTCCTGTGGTCCAAACAGTTTCCATGTGAAGTATTTTAACTGGGAAAAGACCAAATTTGTTTTAGCCAAATTTCTTCTGTTCTTATTAGTCTGGAGAAGCAAGCTCATCCCTTTGAGCTATAAATTGCATTTCAAAGCCCGTGTCTTTGGTGGGTTTTCATTAGCTTAAGAGCTCAGCTTTTATGCAGCAATTGCTTCTCTTGTAGGCAAGGTGAAGACATTTATTTGATAACTAGTCTCTAGTTTTCTCAAACATAGCAATTTTTTTGAGATGCTATATGCTCTCCAGTATCCTAAGAACCCTAAACTTGGCTTGGCATGGTGACTCACGCCTATAATCCTAGCACTCTGGGAGGTCAAGGCAGAAGGATTGCTTGAGGTCAGGAGTTCGAGACCAGCCTGAGCAAGAGTGAGACCCTGTGTGTATTAAAAATAGAGAATATTAGCCAGACAACTAAAAATAGAAAAAATTAGCCAGGTGTGGTGGCACATGCCTGCAGTCCCAGCTCCCAGCTGCTGAGGCTGAGGCAGGAGGATCACTTGAGCCCAGGAGTTTGAGGTTGCTGTGAGCTAGGCTGATGCCACGGCACTCTAGCCCTGGGTGATAAAGTGAGACTCTGTCTCAAAAACAAAATAAAAGCAAAAATAAAAAATAAATAAAACAACAACAATAATAAAGAACCTTAGAGTCAGAGGACCTGCGGGTAATCTCGACTCTGTTACTCACTACCTGTGGCATCCTGGCCAAGTCCCTTACCCTCTGCTCCTCAGAGTGAGGATATATAAAGTCCATGCTCACTTAAGGTCCCTGCTAATCTCACATTGCAGAAGCCTCTAGGGACAAATTTGGTTGTCTCTCCCTCCCCTCACCCCCACCACTGAGAACAATCCCTCTACCCACCTCTCCTTAGCTCATTGCTAAACTCAGAGCCTCCCAGTGCTGCAGATGCTTAGATCTCAATTACACAGCTAATCTGTGAGGCAGAGTTTGACTAGCGGGCCGGAATAGTTTATCAAGTCAAGGAGCTTCTGCTGAATAGGATGTCAGTATTTTCGAGGGCTCCCACTTTAAGTTTAGGGAAACCTTGAAAAGCTAGAAAGAATTAGGTAGGAAGAATTGATAGTTGGTCTATGGAGGTGGGTGTTTGGGTCAGAGATTAGAAAAAGGTGCCTGGGATCTCTGCCCTCTGTGGTCCCCACCACTTAAGCCAGAGCATAGCTAGACCTTGCCCCACCTCCTAGGACATATCCTTACCACTTTCTCCCTAACATTGAGCATTTACTGTGCCCCAGGCTTTGTCAGGCCTGCCCTCTAACATTTGCAGGGCAGAGTTAAGAGTACAGATGGAGACCTATGTACCATATGTCTAAATATTTAAAAGTTATAAGTACAGCTAATAAATTGTAATGTTGTAATACCATGTTTGAATTTAGAATTCTTTTTTTGAGACAAAGTCTCACTGTGTTGCCTTGGCTAGAGTGCAGTGGCATCATCATAGCTCACAGCAGTCTTAAACTCTGGGGCTTAAATGATCCTCCTACCTCAGCCTCCTGAGTAGCTGGGACTACAGGCGTGTGCCATGACGCCTGGCTACTTTTTCTATTTTTAGTAGAGACAGGGTCTTGCCTCTTGTTCAGGCTGGTCTTGAACTCCTGAGCTCAAGCAAATCCTGCCTCGGCCACCCAGAGTGCTAGGATTACAGGTGTGAGCCATCTTGCCCGGCCTGAATTTAGAATTCTTGAACCCTTTGGGATTTGTACCTGAGCCTGGCAATTCAGAGAGACCTCATCAGGACCCGTCTCCTTTTCATTTCTTACCTTCAGCTCCATCCCTCACTTTGAGGAGCCTCATGAACATGTATGTCCATCACTCAAGCCTTTCCACATCCCCACAGATAGCTATTCCCTTGGGCTTCGTGAGTCCATACAACAGTAGCACAGCCTGCCCCTCCCAGAGGAGTGTGCAGGTCTTGAAAAGTGGGTCTGGGTTTGTTTAGACAAGGAGCTCCAGGTGGGCATTTTTCCTCAGCACTGCAGGTTTCTCACCCAGAGCAGCCATGTACACTTGCTAAGTCTCTTCTTTACATATCAGAAAACTGATCTTCACGTGCCATGGTTTCTGGCTGCCCCTCCCTGGCATCATACAGAGTGTGCTCCAGTTTGACCTTAAATCCTCATGTAGAATGGGCTCACAAATGGCAGTGTTTGAGTACTTGTAGCCAGAGAGGTTACTAGATCTTGTACAGGGCTTTATAGTTTGCAAAATCCTTTTATGTACAGTGTCCCTATTCTTAGGGGATGAGAGAAAAGACTAGTAGGGCCAAACCTAAAAGACTATGCTTATTACTAGTCGAGTGCTGATCTCAGCACAGTACCAACCACAGATACTCAGCAAATGCTTCCTGTTCAGTGGTGTTAGAGGCTTTTGGCAGAGGTCTGAGGGAACCCACAACTGTCTTGTCTCTGCCAGTTAGTGGCGGAGCTAGAAGTCATCAGCAGATCTCTGAACCATTATTCCTCGCTCTCTTACTATCTTTGTCCACCATCCAGGCTAGACCAGCTCCCTCCAGCCAAAGCAGGTGGTTTCTTTCTGAGCCAAAACTTGATAACTTTGAGCTGAACCACCCAGGAGAGATCATCTGATGTTCATACAGGAGCCCTGTGAACTTCTTGGTTACCCCTGAATAGACAAGGAATTAACCCTTGAATGGCTTGTCATCCAGGTAGGAGAGGGACTATCAGAACTGTGAGGAATGGGGCACCCAAAGAGACCAACATGCATTGAGCATTTCTGCTGCACATGGACATTGTGTTAGGTGTTTTCACAGGTAACCTCCTTTATGTCCCTCACTGCTTAGTATTAGGTTGGTGCAAAAGTAATTGTAGTTATAGCGTTAAAATCTGCCATTTGATATTGGAATACATTCTTAAATAAATGTGGTTATGTTATGCCTCGTTTTAATGTGCATTTCTCGCTTTGTGTTTTTTTGCTAATGACATTACTTGCTGTTTATATTTATTTTAGACTATGGAAATGATGGTTAGACAAAAAGCAAATTCAAGCAGTTTTCTTATTTGAGTTCAAATAAAGCAGCAGAGACAATACACAACATTAACAGTGCATTTGGCCCCAGAACTGCTAATGAACACTTCACATATAGTGCAATGGTGGTTCAAGGAGTTTTGCAAAGTTTGAGAGCCTTGAAGATGAGGAGCGCAGTGGCTGGCCATTGGAAGCTGACAACGACAAATTGAGAGCAATCATTGAAGCTGATCCTCTTACAACTACACAAAAAGTTGCTAAAGAACTCAACGTTGACCATTCTAAGGTCATTTGGCATTTGAAGCAAATTGGAAAGGTGAAAAAGCTCAGTAAGTGGGTACCTCATGCGCTGATTGAAAATAAAAATTTGTCAGTTTGAAGTGTTATCTTCTCTTTTTGTATTCAAAAATGAATCATTTCTTGATTGGATTGTGATGTGTGAGGAAAAGTGGATTTTATACGACAACCAGCGATGGCTAGCTCAGTGTTTGGACTGAGAAGAAGCTCCAATGCACTTCCCAAAGCCAAACATGACCTGTTTTTGACACCAAAACCAGGTCATGTTTTGACACCAAAAACAGGTCATGGTCACTGTTTGGTGGCCTGCTGCTGGTCTGATCCACTACAGCTTTCTGAATCCCGGCGAAACCATAACATCTGAGAAGCATGCTCAGCAAATTGATGAGATGCACCAAAAACTACAAAGCCTGCAGCCAGCATTGGTCAACAGAAAGGTCTGATAATGCCTGACTACACATCACACAACCAATGCTTCAGAAGTTGAAAGAATTGGGCTACGAAGTTTTGCCTCCTCCATTGTATTCACCTGACTTCTTGCCAACTGGCTACCGCTTCTTTAAACATCTTGAGAAGTTTTTGCAGGGAAAATGCTTCCACAACCAGCAGGATGCAGAAAATGCTTTCTAAGAGTTCCACAAATCCTGAAGCACAGATTTTTACACTACAGGAATAAGCAAACTTATTTCTCATTGGCAAAAATGCGTTGGTTGTAATGGTTCCTATTTTGGTTAATAAAGATGTGTTTGAGCCTATTTATAAAGATTTAAAATTGTCTGAAACTGCAATTACTTTTGCACCAGTCTAATAAATGATGATTGGATACATACAAAGATAAACTGAGTAACAAGAATCTATCCCTTCCAAGTCAGTTCCAAAGCTGGCACCAGCTCCTTCATCATTAGGAGTGATGGCACCCTCTCAGTCCCCTTCTTTGTCTAGGATAGTGTACTCTTCCATAATTTGTCCCGTGGGCTTACTTTAAGCAAGCCCAGGTCTAGGAGCAGTATCTTCCCCAGAATCAGCCTAGGAATTCCTGGTAAACAATGCCATCTGCTGGTCAGAACGTGCCAGCTTCCAGGCTGGGAGGATCTAGGAGAAAAGGGTCTCTTACCTCTTAGTGGGACAAAAGGTACAGATTTCTCTTTTCCATTTCACAAAAAAGAAGCACTTCTCCCCCAAAATATTAGTGAATAGGCTGGCAGGCTGATGAGAGTTTTTGTACATGCTGTTTGGGGCCTTTGCACCTTCTTAAATGGCCCGGTAGGGTTTTGAGGTCGGAGGATCCTAAAAGGGAGTTGCACCAACCCATGCCAATGAGTAGAAGACTAGGCCAGAAAGTATAAATGCCAAGGCTTAACTTTAGGCCTTTATTATTGAAATTGAGCCTCCTCTCCTTGTTCACCTTGAAGCCTGTGCCCAAGTATAACCTATCCAGCAATAGAATAGCAAAAATTTGTACTGCTCTTTGGGGCAAAAGACATTACCAGAGCAAAGAGTAGGTGTAGTCTCATCTCTAAGCCAAACAACAAAATCTGAATGAGTAGGTATAGAAATGAGTAACTCTTAAAAAATTCATTTATTGAAAACAATTCTCAGATAAATATGCTGACTTACTATAGTATTTAAGCTGGCTTTAGCTCCAGGAAACAGAATGATAAAGTTGGAAGAAATGGGCTTTAGGGACAGACTGACCTGTGCTTGAATGCCCATTATTGGCAAGTTAATGAACTTAGTTTCTGATAAAATATAAGCAATAATAACACTCATGGGGTCTTGAGATTATCCAATATTGTATGCCACTCTTAGCTTATGCCACTTTGAGACTTACCATACCTTTTTCAAAATGGCTGATACCAGTAAACACATAGCTAAGTCCATGTCTGGATCAGACTGAGCAATTTTCATGATATAGTATTGTTCTAAAGTGAGCATTACATGCAATTACCATGGGACCTCTTTGTCACGGTTCTGTATTGGAGGAATAGTAGAAAAGCTGTAGAAGATCTTCACATGTAGATCCTGAATGGGGTAATATTTGAGATGAGCATTGAAGACAGAGTGGACTTAAAAGAATTGGAGTCAAGCAGTCCAGGGTTCAAATCCCAGCACTGCCATTCGCTAGCATTGTGACCTCTCTGATTGTTTGATTCCTCCCTTATGAAGTGTTGTGCTCTGCTTACCACATGAATACCAACTGAGTAAGTAACAACACTTCGTAATATAACAAGAAAACAAGTTGGAGAAACAGGGAGGTGCGATGCTGTCGGGGTATACGTTTGTAAGAAGGCAAGAAGCAACTAGTTAGCCAGAATGTGGGCCTTGGGCAGCCCTTGAGCCCAGCCTGTGGTCCTAGCTTTACAGAGGCTCTCTATCTCTCTCTCTCTGTCTCTCTTTAGGTGGCCACCATGTCCTTGAAGATCCAGACAAGCAATGTAACCAATAAGAATGACCCCAAATCCATCAACTCTCGGGTCTTCATTGGAAATCTCAACACAGCTGTGGTGAAGAAGTCAGATGTGGAGACCATATTCTCGAAGTATGGCCGTGTGGCCGGCTGTTCTGTGCACAAGGGCTATGCCTTTGTCCAGTACGCCAACGAGCGCCATGCCCGGGCAGCTGTGCTGGGAGAGAATGGGCGGGTGCTGGCTGGGCAGACCCTGGGTAAGCCTCTCACCACAGTATTCTCCTAGTGCTCTCCAGGGTAGCTCCTGTCCTTCCTTCATTTTCCACTTCCCCTCTTCCTTCATGTTCCAGTTCCCCTCTCAGCCCCCCTCCTGTCTTTCTCCTACCACTACCACTGCTCTGAGATTTTGTAAATTAAATAAGCTATATTTATTATAAATTAAGTCATAAAATTGATGCCTAGAGGGGAGAATTTTAGAAGCCCCTGGAAAATAGTTCTATCCTGTCCCTACCTTCTTGGTCCTTCTTAATGACAGGCTTTAGGGCTCCTGTTAAAATGCAGATTCCCCTGGAAAAGGGAAGAGAGTGGACTAACATAGCCTTTTACATTGGGCAACAGATGACTTAGAACACTTTCTGAGAACTAGGAGGAAGAGTCTACCCTGTTATGCCTTGGAGTGTGTGCAGTGTTCATGTGTGTGCACGTAATTCTGTGTATACATGTATGTTTGAGAAGGAATATCTATATATGTATTCCTGAATAAGAATGTTGTGACTGAACATGTGGAGATGTGAACACATACCTGTATGTGTGTGTATGTGTCAAATATACTGGCGTGTATAAGCAGATATACACATACTTATTTACTAAATATTTATTGAGATCCTATCATGTACTGTTCTAGGCATCGAGATATTTAGTAGAATGTCTGTGAATGTGCATTGGCTCATTTGCCTATGGCCAGTTATAATATGATGTTGGAGCCAAGTCTGAATGTACTTAAGAGTACATATGTTATCTGTGTGTGTGACTTTCTTATGTGGACATGTGAATTTGTGTGTGAGGGTGCATCTGTGTATATGTTCTTGTGTACTTGATATGTGTTTACATGAATGTACTTGGGAATGCATACATGTATGTTGTACATGGTTGCATGTGTGTGTGTGTGATATGTTCCCTGAGCACACATGGATGTGTCTGTATGTGGACATGCAAACAAGCATATCTATGTGATGTCTGGGTATGAGTCTAATGTTTGAAGACTAGATGTACGAAGACTTTTGTTGACCATATCAGTGAATTAAGTCCATGCTTCCATCATGTAAGCACATGAATTGTGTGTGTACATGAGGGGGATGTGTTTGTGGGCATACTGCTGTCATGCCAGCATTCTGACTCTGCTTCTTCCCTTCACACAGACATCAACATGGCTGGAGAGCCCAAGCCCAACAGACCCAAGGGGCTAAAGAGAGCAGCATCTGCCATATACAGGTGGGGCACTCTGTCTGTCTGGGTGGGATGGTCCCTCTTCCCACAGAGGGAGTAAACGCTAGTGTGATAGTGTGCTGAGCCTAGAACTTGGGGAGGTGTTTGGAGATGAGGGCCTGTGGAGAGTGGGCTGAGTGGCCGTCCCTAAGCTCTGGCCCTCTCCCCTTTGTTTCCCCAGTGGCTACAGCTTTGACTATGATTACTACCGGGACGACTTCTACGACAGGTGAGCAGGGGAGGGGCGTGCCCAGGCATGAAACAGCCAAGCTGGAAGGGAACTGAGAGATTGTTGGTGCAGTCCACTCAGTTCTCCAAATGGGAATCAAAGCCCAGAGGTGTGGACAGGCATTTGCCTAAGGTTGCTTCACAAGTCAATGGCAGAGCTGGGTGTAGGGTTCAGTTCTGCAGGTGCCCAGGCCCAAGCTCCCATTACCATACCATGCTGACACTCTGGCTGCCCTTTTCCTACTACTTCTGGGGTGAGACTCAAGGCGATGGTACAGCCAAGGGCTGTATAAACATAGCCAGTTGGAATACACAACAGGGTACAGCATTGGTTATAGGGAGTGTGAGCCTCACACTTCTATTTTCAGTTCCCTTCCTTGTGTGAAGTACCCAACCAGCTGGAAGGAACTCCAGAGCTCAGACTGAGCCTCTTGGCCTTATATTTATAGCCACAAGGCCAAGAGCTAATTGGAGGCCTGAATTAGTCTCTGGTGGGCTGTGGGCCCCCATTCCACCATACTCTTAAGTGGAAATCATAGTGGGGACCAGCCCAGACCTCTCCTCCCTGCTTTCCTTCCTACCTCCAGCTCAGCACACCCCCAGGGGCCCAGGTAGAAGAACCTCTCTGAGCCTTGTTTTTCTCACCTGAGAATGGTTTCAGGAAACTGATATAATGGAAAGTGTCCTAACCTGGGAGTGAGAAGATTTAGGTGCTAATCTCAGCTCTGCCACTGGATTGATTATGTGATTTTAGGCAAATCCCCTTCCAAGTTTGTGAAATGGGCTTGCACCAACTGATCTCTCAGGGCTCCTCCAGCTCTGGGATTCTGTGGTCCAGTGATTCTGACCAAGGCCAGAGCCGCCCCCTCCCCTTGGGGGCAGAAATGCAGGGTCTGGGATTAGATCCTTTCCCAGAAACTCTGCATCTCCAGCCATCACCACCCTTAGGGCAGGGCTCCCTGAATAAGGGAGTACCAAGGAATGGCAGGTTTCCTGGCTGTCATCCGGAAAGTGGTCCCAATGTGTACCCAGTAAGGCTGCGGGTCCCTGCAGAAAGATGGTAGCAACAGATGGCGGGGAGACCCCTTCTCAGCCTACTAAATTTCTGCCTCGTCAGCAGGAAAAGACCCCCAAATCCCTGGAGAGGACTGAGTGACGGCTGTGGTAAGGAGCACACAGTCTGGGAGCCCTGGGATCTGATTGAACTGCCCAGCCTTGATCATCTCCCACTGGGCTCCTGGCCTTTGTCTCTGAAGTGGAGCAGGAAGGGTGGGGTGATTAAGGAGGCCCAGAGCAGGAAAGGGCTCAGAATCTAGCCTCATGTCTCTGAGACTATGGGCTCATGCCTTGAGGGTCTCAGTACCCTAACCTTTTACCTGTCACCTATCACATCTTTCAAAGTATATTTTTAGCTAAATTATTTCATGCTCTACCCCTACAGAAGACTTGGGTAGACACTGAATTTGGGTAGCCATCCTTATTAAGCATGTAGGGAAACTGAGGCTCGGGGGTTGATCCTTACTCTCATACCTCTCTATTTCCAGCTGGGGATTTGTGCTGCTTTGAGACTTCTGAACTCTGATCAGAGGTTGGGGTGGCAGTTGACTGGGCAGAAGCCAGGTCATGCAATAGAGCTGGCCTGAGTGTCAAGAGTGACTAGGGAAGGCACCTCTGTGGGGCTGGTCTCACTTTGCTCCTCCGTTGAATGGGATATAATCACTACCACCTACTCATCTGCTCTTACCTCCCGTAGCTTGTGGGAGAGTTGGATGTAGCGAGGATTCCAAGAGCCCAAGCCCTGCTTCTCACCCCAGGGTTTGTTGGGGGCCAAGCCACAGTGTATAGTGCTGGCCTCCCAGCCACAATGCCCCCTGGTGGTGGCCACAGGCCATGCTGCAGCCTCTGGCCTGTTTGCCCTACAGGCTCTTTGACTACCGGGGCCGCCTGTCGCCTGTGCCAGTGCCCAGGGTGGTCCCCGTGAAGCGACCCCGGGTCACAGTCCCTTTGGTCCGGCGTGTCAAAACTACCATACCTGTCAAGCTCTTTGCCCGCTCCACAGCCATCACCACCAGCTCAGCCAAGATCAAGTGTGAGTGACTATATCTTCTTCCGAGATAATTTGTATTGTTATCGTTAGCAAAATAATAGAATCACATTTTTTTACATTGGAAAATAGATAAAGGAACAAATCTCCCACAGCTCTGCAGCTCTAACACAACCAAGTGAGTATTTTCGTCCATTTCTAAGAGGAAAAGGCTGACATTTGAGGAGGAGGGCTGCGGGTTGGGCACAGAGAGATTAGTGCTGTGACATGGTGCCCAGATAGGAGATGGCATCATCTCTCCTCTCTAGTAAGGACAAGGACAGGTCTACACAGGCCCACAATTCCACATTCACTCCAGTGTACACACACTATAGTCAAACACCCAGGAAATCTTATCACAAAAGACCTACATTTGTATACCTTGAAAGAAGGCCCTATCCCATAACACAAAGACTCATGTTCTTCCTCAGGTGCACACAGAAGAGCACACCGTACACTTGCATTCCTGTCCATCCTCAGTCCCTTTCAGGATCGAGAGCTCTGGGGAAAAGAGAGCCAGGTTCAGAAGTGTGGGCTGGTCACTGTAGGGATGGCCTCCAGGAAGTCTCAGGAGGAGGCCTTTTCCATGACCAGGGAAAGAACCAAAAAAGAACTGCATTCCTAGTTGACAGAATAGGGTTGAGGTTTTGTGTGTCAAGCTTTCAGCCCTTAGGTGACAGCTCTGTCTCCTCCTTCCACTCCCAGTAAAGAGCAGTGAGCTGCAGGCCATCAAGACAGAGCTGACGCAGATCAAGTCCAACATTGATGCCTTGCTGGGCCGCTTGGAACAGATCGCTGAGGAGCAAAAAGCCAATCCAGGTCAGCCTCTGAGGGTCCTCACCCAGCTACATGGCCAAGGCATAGGGCAGAGGGTGGGAAGATACATAGGTGAAAGGGGGTGGGATGGCCCTGCAGATCCCAGCCCACCTGGACCCACTGTGCTGAGGCCAGCTTTTCCTAAAGTGCCCCAGGCTGAGTTTTATTTCCTCATCCTCTACCCCTTCCTCTTCAAGATGGCAAGAAGAAGGGCGACAGCAGCGCTGGCAGCGGCAGTGCTGGTGGTGGTGGCAATAGTGGCAGCAGCGGCCGGCCACCAGCCCCCAAAGAGGACACGCCTTCCGGGGTAGGCAAGCCCCAAGGAGAAGCACAGGCTCGAGATGATGGTGACGAAGAGGGATTGTTGGCACATAGCGAGGAAGAGCTGGTGAGGGCCTGGCCAGGGGCATGGCAGGGTGGGCTGGGACTGGACTTTGCACTCCTTGTCTCAGGAGGGCAATAAGGCAGGGAGAACCTCTGAGTTGCTTGGTCCTCCTGTGAGCTCCCTCCTCCTGGGGCTTCTAGTCCTGTAGAGAAGAGGGAAGAAAGAGCAGGGGGCAATTGCCTATTTCAGATGCCAGTCAGAAGTCCCACTAAGGGCTGGGGCAGACTCAAGTCCAGGGCCCATTCTGGCCTCCATTCTCCACATGAGTTGGAGAAAGGGGAGAATTGGGCACAAGGGAGCACACAGCCTGCAGATTCCAGAGAGCAGGACTGGGGTTGCTTGGGGAAGGCATGGGGAGGTGGGTGTTACCTCCATAGAGGATTTGCTAAAAGCCGTTCTTGCTCAGACACAAAGCAAGCTGTGTCATGAGGGAGTGAGCTCCCTGCCTATAAGTGTAATGATTCAGGCTGAGGCTGGGAGGCCATTTGACAAGGAGCCTCTGTTGAGAAGGAGGGTAGACCGGACTCTGAGTCTGTAAAATATCTGTTGCTGACTTGCTATTCACTTACTTAAGGAACGTTCGTTGAGCACCAGGCCCTGCAGTCCATACATTCTAACTTCATTTAACCTTAACAACAGCCTGTACCATGCATAGTATTATGGTTCCCACATTGCAGCCCACGAGGAAACTGAGGCTCAGAGGGGTGTTGAGTAGCTTGCTCAGGGCCTCGTAGTTAATAAGAACTGAGCCAGGATTGGAGCCCAGACTTCTTCACTCGGTCTGGAATATTCTCCTTTTCATCACTGCTGGGTTCCAGCATGAGGACAGATCGGCTCATGGCCATGATAGTCAAGGGGTCTTCCTCATGCCCAGCTCACATCTCCTGCTTTGAACCTAGCCTGATACTTCATCTTACTCTTTCCAGCATAGCAGTCTCTATAAAAGCCCTAACCCTTTCACCAATCTATAAGGCTCTCAGGCTGCCCCAATCCAAATTCTTTCTATATACAGAAATGTGCCCCATGCCACTCCCAGAACTCCTTGACTGGCCCCTTGTCTCTCCTATGGGGCCCTCAGACCACTCTCTCAAGATCTTATGCCATCCTTGTTGTCTGGTCCCATAGGCATTCCCATTGGCTGTTCTCCCGCTTTCTGACTGTGTCCTCTAGGTGTGCTCTGGTCCCTGAGGTCTTTCTAGACAAATGGCCTAGGACAGAATTTGGAGCTTGCAGTGAGTGATGTGTGTTCTCTTCTTGCCTTCTCCCTATCAGGAGCACAGCCAGGACACAGATGCGGAGGATGGGGCCTTGCAGTAAGCAGGTATGGGGTCCTGATGGGCAGGGGTAGAGAAGCAATGAAGTTGAGGCCGTGCCTCTTCCCTGGGTGGGACAGGAAGTATCATGAAGCAGACCTAGCAAGGTAGCACTGTGCCCAGGAATGAAGCCCCTTCCATGTCCAGCCATCCTGCCACACCTCTGTGGTGGGGACTTGGCAGACTGAGCAAATAGGTGCTATGGATGGGCTGGCCAAGCCTGCCCAGCAGTGGCTCCCTCAGCATACTCTGAGCCATATCACCTGTCTCCACCCTTGTGGAGCTCCTAATCTGGTGGAGAAAGACACAAACTGTTAAGCACCCAACGTGAGGAGGATGACAGCAGAGAGGAGCCCAGGTGGTAGAAGAAATTATGTGTAGCTGAGCCTGCTGTTGCTTGAGGGAGCAGCCTTAGCAGAGGCACAGAGCTGTGACAGTCCCTGGTATGTGGTGAGGCCATGAGCCTCCTGTGACTGCAGCCTCAGTCCGCTTGGTAGGGAGAGGCACTACTCATCATCAGAGGGTGGTGATTGTGAAGGTCATTACATACCAGGCTTAGGGGCTTAGACGTCATCATTTTGTGGGGAGGAAATGCCCTGGGTGGCAGGAGCTGCACCTGCTTTATTTGATTTCACCTTCAACCCCACAAGGTTATGGTTGTGCCAGTATAATAGATGTGAAAACTGAGGAACTGAAGGGTATGGGGAGGTACCACATGTCTCACAACATTCCAAGGTAGTAATTAGTAGAGCCTAGATTTGAATCCAGTGGTGCGTGGCCTGAAAGCCCATTCTCTGGCCACAGTTTGCTACGCTACTACTCTGTCATACCCTGGAGGGAAGCCAGGCCACAACTAGCCCTGTCTACTCTCTGACCTGTTCCCTTGGGGCCATGTTCAGAGTAAGACAGGCTTGAGTGGAGGAAGGTCTCAAACACCAGTGTGCTCCCAGGGAGGTGTCTTCCTATGGGACACATTCATGCTGTAAAATGCTCCACCAAAGGAGTTTCAAGAACAGTTAAGTTTAGAAAATTCTGTATAGATATAATCTCTGTTGGAACTTCATGGCTTTACTTGGCAGGCTAAGTTTTACCTTGTTAAGCTAGTTCACAGGTGAGTTACAGAGGCTCTTGCGAGGAGGTGGAGGTTCAGGAAGGAGGTGAGACTTGCCCAAGTTTACATGGCCAGAAGATTATGAGGCCAGAGCTCTGTCTGCAGGCATCATCCCACCCTTTCCTCTTCCCTACCCATACTAGGAGCACCAGGGGCTCTTCCTCTCAGCCTTAGTGTCCTTTGCCTCTCTCTTTCTCAGCCTGACAGGAGCAATGGTCACCAGCAGGAGAAAGGCATCGCCGCCCCAGGCCTCAAGCTGGGCACCCGCCCTGGATGCCACCCCCCAGCGGGTATCAGAGGAGAGCGGGCAGCAGGCTCCTCCTCCCCCATGCATCCCAGACAATGTCACATCCTCTGCAGGTGGAGTTTCCAGCCTACCCCTTCCCTGTGCACCTTCCCTGTGTGCACTGTCCAGGCCAGAGGGCAGAGCACAAGTGTCTCCCCACACTCTGCCTCCCTTCCCCCCAGGACACTCCTAGGCTTGGGGTTTTTCTATAGGTTTGGAGGGGGGCCCAAAGGAAGGACCCTGACAATAAAGAGATTGGATCCCAACCTGCTCTTGAGACAGGATGGTTTGTGTTTTCTCACGAAGGTATCCTGGCCCTTCTCTCCAGAAAGCTGGTCTGCTATACCCCTTCTGCTCTTACCTCCTTCACTCCTCCCTGCCAGAGAACATGGTCTAGGGTGCCTCATACTGATCCACTTGGGCCTTAGTTTCCTCAGCTAAAGTGGTGATAAAAATGGCCAGTAGAGCTGTTGGGGAAGGGTTGGATATGCTCAAGGTGCCCATGAGCACCTTGCTGGCTGAAACGTTAAGCAGGTGTGACCCACTTGGTCACCCAGTAGTTAAGTTGAGGCCTCATCTCTTTCCTTAGCTTTTCACTAAGCTCTTAAAATGATTCTAGAATCCACCACTTCCTCCACCTTCTCTATACTGGTTTAGGACACTGGTTTTTTTCACTTGGTCCTCTTACCAGCCTCTCAGTCTTCAGCTTTTCCCCTATATCATTTCTCAGCAGCCACCACCCACCCACCAGTGTCCTTTCTGAAACATCCCTTCCTCATCAGAACAAATGTGTGAGGTTCGAGATGCTGCTTGCTCTGGCCTCTGTCTCCTGCCTGCACCATTATTTGCTGCCCACACACAGACCCTGCACCTCAGCCTCACAAAACATACAAGTTCTTCACTCTGGGCAGTTTGGGAAGCAAGGAAAGATACCCCAGTGGCCTCCAGCAGTGGGAAGTTTGTGTCAGGATACAAGTGGACTGTCTGCCCCTCTCGGGCCACTTGTCTAGACATTTGCTGGCATTCAAACAATTGGCCAGTTTCATTCTAACTTCCACTTCTTCACAACTCAACGTGGCCCATGATGTCCTCCTAACTCACTCCCTTCCCTTTATTCCCCACAATGAATTGATAAATTTTCCCTACATTCAGGTTGCCAAGAGAGAATCAAGTGCCACAGCAGAGTTTTTTGAGTCACTCATAGGTTACAAGTTCCCATCCTGGTCCAGTGAACTGGGAGATAAAATGTGGCCACATAGGCTGGTCTCATTGGTGTGGGGCTGTGAGACTGCAGCACCCAGAAACATACTTTGTCCCAAGCCCAGCACAGACTCTTCTGCTCCCTTCACTACTCTCTCCATCTGGAAAAAAACTTGCTCAGCATGAAGCTGCCGCTCTAGTGTCAGCACCTCTGAGAATTCTCTCGGAGCAGCTGACTGCTCTTCTGTAAGGACCCCTCCCCTCCTGGGCTGCCTTTCCCCAACACATGGAATTCAGCCCCATCATCAGAAAGGGTTTGGGTTCTTTCCCTCCATCTTTACATGTCTCTCACAGTTTGCAGCCCTGCTGGAATCCTATTGAAAATCCCATTTCAGGCTACCAGTTCTATTATCACAGCCTTCACCAAAGCTTCCTCCTGTGCTTTGGCTCTAGGTTTAGGTGGAGGTTGCAGGCTGGGCTTGGGACAGTGCTCAGGCTCCCCAGGGAAGTCTTTGTTGTCTCATGTCTCCCTCACTGGGCAGCCCTCCTGTCCACCGTCGTTGGCAGGCCAGCTGTCTGAAGCCCCAGTGTGGCTCTAGGCTTAGGCAGTCCTGAGTTCTGCAGGGGCCTGACTAGGCCAGCCCCAAGGCAGCCAGAGATCGGGCTTCACACCTGAGCCAAAGGCTCCAATCCCTGCTTGGCATTGCCTCTTGGTGTGATTTGGAGGAATATTTCTGCCCCTTCTTAGTGTTAGCTGCCCAGTGGGATCATAGTCCCGTATGTCTGCCAAGGGACCCTGGGCAGGAGCAATAGAGCAGGTAGGGGTTTATGAAGAACCACATGGCAGAAGCTGAGGCCTTCAGGCTGAGAGATTGAGGTGTGGGTTAGAAATAGGCCCTTTGAAACTGGGCCGGATTCTGGCCCAGCTGGCTTAGCCTCCAGATCAAAAGGCTTCGATCTGGAGAGATGAAGAAGTTGTACAGTGGAAGGGGCTAGGTCCATTGGAACACACTCCTCCACTCCCAGATCATAGCCAGCTCTAACAGACCCACTTGTAAACTGGGCAGGTCACAGCTGTTCTTGGGTCTTGATAACTCCATCTGTACAACATGGGGAACAGCTGCCCTGGACTGTACTGTGGGCAAAATCCAAAGATTTGGAGTCTAGCAAACCTCACGCTGAAGGCATATAGCACCAGGCATTGTTACCCTATATCTCCAGAGCCTGGTGTCAACTGAGACACTGACTTTTCAGAGTTTAGGGGGCAGGTTGACCAGCAGTGACCATGAGCTTCCTTAGTATGCCAAGCTTGGGAGGGCCATGAGGAGAGCAGGAAAGACACCTTTAAGGACAGGAGGCATCTGTCCTTACCTACTTCTGCCCATAAGACCCTGCTTAATCACCATGGCACCAGGACATGTGCTAGACAGAGGGAGAATGGGAGTCCTATCCTGGCACCCCAGAGAAGACCCTGAACGACTTCAGTCCCTGAGAACATTCACAATTGGGCCCGAGTGGAATACTGGCATCCGAAGCCCTGTGTACATATGCCCTCCTTCTCTGAGCTTGGGTACAACAAAGACATCTCCCATTTGCTGGTCAACAGTTGCCATTCTTCTGTCTAACCTCTGAAAACTCCAAAAGGAGATGGTGAAGAAATGTGATACCAGATACCAAATGATCAATTGTCTCTAAATGTTTTCAAGATTTAAAGCCTCATTTGTGGCCGGGCGTGATGGCTCACACCTGTAATCCTAGCACTCTGGGAGGCCGAGGCAGGATTTGCTCGAGGTCAGGAGTTCGAAACCAGCCTGAGCAGGAGCGAGACCCGGTCTCTACTATAAATAGAAAGAAATTGGCCAACTAATATATATAGAAAAAATTAGCCGGGCATGGTGGCACGTGCCTGTAGTCCCAGCTACTCGGGAGGCTGAGGCAGGAGGATTGCTTGAACCCAGGAGTTTGAGGTTGCTGTGAGCTAGGCTGACGCCACGGCACTCACTCTAGCTTGGGCAACACAGTGAGACTCTGTCTCAAAAAAAAAAAAAAAAGCCTCATTTGTGATCCTTACAGCCATGTTGAAGGATATGGCAGCCAGTGCATTTATTGGATCGTGAGCTAAGAGGCCTGGGGCTTTCCCCTGTATTGCGGCCAGCAGGGCTGGTGACCCTAGGCACATTTGTTTCTTTGCTAGATCTCAAGTTTCCTCAGCTGTAAAATGAAAATTTGGTCTAGATCAGGGTTAATAAATGGGCCTTGTATCAGTTACTGACTGTTGTATGACAAACCACCCCCAAATTTAGTAGCTTTAATAAACAACATTGATGAATGCCAGATTCTGTGACTTGGCAATTTGGGCTGTGCTTAGCTTGGTTCTTATCTGGGCTGTCGTCGCTGGAATGAGCTGGGGGCTGGTTGGTCTCAAAGGGCCTCCTCCACATGTCAGGTGGTTGGCTGGACAACAGGAGCAACTGGGCGGCATGTTCTCAGCATCTAGCAGGCTGACCCATATCGTTCACATCACAGCTGGGTTCCAAGAGCAACAAGAAAGGATCATCCCCAATACACAAGTGCTTTTCAAGATCTTGCTTGTGTCATGTTTGTAAGGTTCCATTGGTCAACACAAGTCACAAGGCTAAGCTGAAATTCCTCTTAATAGAGCTTCAAAATACGGCCACAATGTTTTAAATCTACCTCAGGCCTCATTTCACTTGCTAACACAGAACACTTAGTGGCTGCCTGGAGTAGTCCTTGTTAAGGATTTGGAGCAATATTTAGACTACTTGGAAATACTAACATGATAATTTGATGTCTCTTATGGCCAAGGAATTGAAATGTGGATATGTGTCAGGTATTTGCCAATCCCAGCCAGATGACCCATGAGCTCACAACCTGTCCCATAAGGACATTTTATGCAGTGTGCCTGTCTGACAAGACCACAGAAATACAGAAAGCAGAGCAAGGCAAAAGATTCTGAGCCAGACATCCTGGGTCTGAATCCCAGTCGGATTATTGGTTCACTGGGGCTTTGGGCAAATCAGAATCCCTTTATCTGTGGCCAGATTCTTCATAATAAATTGATTCCATAATAATAAACCACTTCCTGTACACCTGCTGTTAAATGGCACATTTGACACTTGAATCTCCACAACCAACCCTTAGTGGATATAGTGAGGATTTTGGTTTCAAGTTACAGAAACTGAAGTAAGACCTCCTTTAGCAAGAGGAAGTTTACTGACTTGTGAATTGTTAAGTCCAGGGGTAGCTCTTCAGACGGGGATTTGGGTCCAACAGCTGCCATGAGGAATCTGATGGTTCTGAGGCAGGCTCTAAGAGGTGGTAGAGCATGGCCATAGGGCCTGTGAAGGTGGAGGGGGAGAGGAGAGAATCCACACAAGAAAGACAATGGTTGGCTGACAGAAACAACAAGTGTTCATTATGGTTATGCCCACTGTGTAGATTTTATAGATGGGGAGGTTTTAAAGCATGGCCCCATGGAGAAGTGGTGTCTATACTCCCCTTTATCTGAACTCTATGACTGATCAATACAATATGGTGATAGTGATGCTATGCCAGTGTTATAGTCCAGGACTTAAGAACTAGCAGCTTCTACTTCTTGTTTCTTGGGACCCAGCCACCATGCTGTGAAGCAGCCCAGGCCACATGGAGAGGCCACGTGTACATGTTCAGCTGACAGCTGTATCAACTCTCAGACATATGAGGAAGCCTTCAAGATGTCTCCAGCCACCATCTGACTGAGAACTGAGTAAGAACCACCTCACTAGCCCCAGTCAAAGCCCAGCACCATGGAGGATTATAATAAACTGATCATTGTTTTAAGCCCCTACGTTTTGGAGTGATTTGTTGTGATTGGTACATAGAACAGACTGAAATCCAAAGAGGCTAAGTAGCTTGCTCCACTTTAGGGGACTGGGTTAAGAGTATGGAATGTGTGTTGAACTGAGTTCCTATCCGAACTATTTTATCGTGTGACCTTAGGCAAGTTACTTAACCTCTCTGAGCCTCATCTTTCTCATCTGAAAAACAGAGAGAGCACATCCTTATT